CCGAAATGGTCAATCGGTTATGCCAACTAATTTTTATCCCAGTAAACTTTTAGTTTACTTTTGCATGTGATTCCATCATCATGATCATGTTTGTATATAACAAACATGAGGAAAAGACGAGTAACCTTTTAGATAAATACTTATAACCCGCTTTGGTTGTAGTAATATGAAGATATTAAATCTCTCATACTTTATAGTCTCAATATTTCTTTTTAATTCATCTAAAACTTAAAAGTTTCTTTCGAGACTTACTACAATCTCAATATTATTCCTTTGATAATAACACAATAACTCTTTAGAGCTTACAATTAATTTTGTGTATTATCACATATTCCATGACACCATTCATATGGTGAACATCTCCTTCAAGGAAAAAATTATATTATTATTTTCATGGTCAAAATTATTAGAGGCAAGACATGCTCCTTACTTTACTTTTGTCGAACCACAGGTACACAACCAATGACAAATTTATATTGCCATATAATAATATTATTTTGTCATGGCCACAACCTTTATAGGCAAGAATTACTTCTTTCTTCTGCCATTTCGGTAGTTCACAATAAACATATCATAATATTTATGACGTATAAACGTACACGACATTACCATTCCTTCCAAATTTATTTATTTATTTTTGTCCAACCTCTCGTAGAGGTGAGTTGTGGCATATTTCTAACCATACATGAATATGTTCCTATTTATATGTATACTAGTTTTTCGACACGTGCAACACACATGATTATAAATTCAGAAAATTTAATCGAAGATTTTAATAATAAGCTTTACACAAAATAATAGTGCAGATTCTTTTGTGAATATTTAATGTGGATCGTCATATATATCTCTTATTCACACAAACCTATGAAGATGGTCAATGAAAATTTTTATTAGTTAAATGCAATAATGTATATATTTATTTCAATTTGATGAGGTTCAATCATGTAATTAGTTTCATCTCACTAATGTTACCTTATAGACGATATTTGTTGTTTATTTTTCTTGTCATCTAACCAGATGTGCTTTGCACGTGTATTCCACTTAATCTTTTTAGATGTCATATGAACATAGGGAGAACAACTAAATTTTATCTTTAGAACTATTTTTGTATAATATTTTTTATTTTATAAGTTATAACAGAATATATGATGTTCTTTTTGTTGGCTCTCATATTTGACTTCTTGATTGACTGTGTACATAAATCAAACATAGTTATCAGACTCTCCATAGTTAATTGAGAAAGGTTTCCTTTTTTTTTTTACCAAAAAACTAAAAATTAAAATTAAAGAATATATTGTATTTGTAAAATCATATATATAATCACTTGTTTATCTTACACCCAACAAAGATATAGTTCATATATTTATAAATAATTTTCAATTTATTCAACCAAGCATGATTCGTCCAAGGAAAAATAAAAGCACCATGTTATCACGTATATAGAGACGGTATAATAATATGAAAAAAATTTAGTCAAAATTTAATATAATGAAAGATGGAAGATAGAAGTAATTAATTTAATAACTATGTGAATTCATAATATTACAACTTAAGAATGTAAAAGAGTGTGAATAACATTTGCAATAATTAGTAAAAACTAAGAGAATTTATAATGTTAGAACTAAAGAACTAATGTGCAGTAGATGAATTTCTAATAAAATTTATACTTACATAAATAAATAGGACTTTTAATTAATAATACTATTATTTTTTATAGTTATTAGATTTTAATTTAGTGTAGGGACAAAATGAAAATGTTTATTCCATATTACTGAATATAATTTATTTTCTTAATGATAAATATTAAATGGTTCATATATATTCACATATTTTCACATTTGTTTCGAGTTTTTTTAAAAAAAAAAGAACTCGGAAAATTTTAAAATAATATATTTTGACATTAGAAGATCCTGTTAACTTGATAATATATTCGTGACATATATAAATATCTACCCAAATATATATATATATATATAATTAGAATAGTGGTACCTCATATTCCGCTAAACTTTAAACTCACTCAACGACAATAAATCACACAGAATGTTTTAAAATGCAAGAACAAGAAGAGTAGAAGATTAAAAAAAAATTGTGGTTGGAAAATGAGAGGAAACCCCTCTATGTCAACCAAGGTAGTACGAACAAGTGTTTTTCGTGTCATATCTGAAAAGTCATGACATTTCCGAGAAGTCACAACCCTTTGGAAAAGTCACAACTTATTGAAAAAGTCACAAATCTTTGGAAAAGTCACAACTCTTTGGAAAAGTCACGACTCTTTGGAAAAATCACAACCCTTTGGAAAAAGTCACAACCTATCAGAAAAGTTACAACTCATCGAAAAAGTCACAACCTAAGTAAGGGATATTATAGTAATTTAGCATTCAAGTTAGGAGTTCATGCTTATAAAGTAATAAATAAATATATATATATATATATATATATTCATATTTTGACACATTAACTTTCAATAATGGGCAAACATTCACGATGCTTATTACAAGTCACAATCTCTTTATGAGTTGATCATAACCATTTATACGTGTCATACCTTTATATTTGACATATTTACATGACCCACCTCAACATCACTTTGAAAGGTAAAGTGCACCACCACTTTTTTTTTATTTTTATTTTGATGGAGGATTTGTAAAATTATCAAATTATTAGTTCATACGAGAACCACATGTCCAATGACCTTTCATATTATTTTGATGACAAAAATTACCTTCACATTTTGAAGGATTATTTTGAGAACTCATAGTGTTCTTTTCACCACAATATTATTATTATTATTATTATTATTATTATTATTATTATTATTATTATTATTATTATTATTATTATTATTATTATTATTATTTCATCCTTCCATGCCCTTATTCATACATTCAATCACTTTTCCACTTTCAGACTTATTATTCGTTGCTATCACATTCATACGATAGAATGAAGCAAATCAATTGGGCAGATTTCAAAGTAATCATATACTGCTACCACATTCTCTAAATTTCATGACTTTTCATAAAAGATATATTATTTTTGCCTTAGTCATCATTATATCATCACTATGGTGCATCGAGACTCAAATTCAATGTCTTATCCAAATAAAGGTGTGTTAGAAACTCGAACCCAATATTTTATCATTATGATACATCAGAATCTTAACTCAATAGCTTATAATATTGTGGTGCATCGAGACATTAATATGATATCTCACCCTCTTGATTCATTGAAACTTAAATCCATTGTTTACCCTCATCCAATGACATAATAGGTCAAATGTCATTCATATGCAATTAGTATGAACCAATAAAAATAATACTCAATGCACCAAACCTTTTATTTGAGTTATCAACTTATTGACACATAAAGAGGCTAGACAATTCTCACTATAAATAATAAATATATTACACGCAGATAAGCATACACACAAAATAATTGAATACATTTATCAACTCCAAAATAGATTCACTAGTGATCAACTTTGTCATTTACTATATTTCTTTACAATTTATTCTTATTTTATATGAATGCCTCAAAAATGATTTCATTGTATAGTTGCACACTAATAAAAATATTTATCACACTATAATAAAATTGGTTACTGCCGTTCCAATTTCCTTGTGAAGTACCCTTAGAGTTCCATACACATCTAAAAAACATCAACTAGCTTATGAAATAGCTAAAGTAATATTTAATGTTAACCAACGAATTGCTCAAAATGACAACAATGAGCATAATCATAAAGAAAACATAAAATAGGTTCAAATATACAATAGGAAAAATACATAATACTAGTTACTCACCTTGTTAAAAAAAATCAACACAACCTCAACAATCAATAGTATTAATAACTTACCTTATTTCGGAGAGCAAATAAAACATAATCTTGAAATGATAAAGTGATTAGAACTCCGTGGTGATAACGTGTTATAAAATCAATCTAAGAACATATAACTATAAAGAGAAGAAGATAAGATGAGTAGATGAAGGAGAAGATTTTTTTCATATTCAAGTGTGTCATACATGGAGAATGATATCTCTATTTATAAGTAGAGAAATAACTTTAAAGGCTACCATGGTAAATTCTAAATTAATAGATACATTGTTATCCGAAAAAGGTTCATATCACCTTGGAAATTATAACAATTGAGAAATCAGAGACCAAAAAGAGTTGAAAACTATTCTGTATTTCTGTGCTTTACAGTTGATAAACTATCCACTATTTATATACAAAGGTACAAGCATGATTCTAGCACAATATCATATCATATCTTGCACAATATCAATGGTGTGATTGTGCTTAGTTAAATTAGAATATTATCCCGAATATTTAAAATCATATAAGATATTTGGAATAATAACATATATGATTTGGAATTATATCAGATATGATTTGGAATCATATCTAATATGGTCAACATCCCCTCTCAAATTGATGATACTTATCAAGAAGTATTAATTTGGATAATAGGAATTGGTGTCTCCTCCTTGCCATCGCTTTTGTAAACAAGTCTGCCAATCGATCATGCGACGTGATATGTCGAAGACTAATGACTTGGATATTTAGTTAACTACGGTTACACTTACACCAAGAACTCCTATTCTATTGCATCAAGAGCTGATCAACAACAAGTTCTCGAATTTAATGGCAGTCCAATTCAATGTGTTTTGTGTTCTCATGGTGGATCAAATTTGTTGCTATTTGTATTGCACTAGTATTGTCAGCATGTAATGTAGTGGAACCATCAACAGAGATATGAAGTTCTGCCATCAATCAACGTATCCACACAATTTCAGAGCAATCAGCTGACATTAATCTATATTCTGCCTCCATTGATGATTTTGAAATTCTCGGCTGCTTCTTGCACTTCCATGAGACATGTTCCTAGTTAACATACACCATCCTATCGTAGACTTTCAGAGTTTGCACATCCTACCCAATCTGCATCTGCATACCCTTCGAGATTTAGAGATGATGTTGAATTAAAGAAAAGACCTCAATTAATTGTACTCGGAACATAGCGAATGATTATGAGGAGGGCAGAAAAATGATGCTGGCAAGGATTTGTAACAAATTGGCTCAAGACTTGAATTGGATAAGAGATGTCATGTCTTGTTATTGTCAAATAAATTAGACAGCCAATGAGCCTTATGTACAATGTTGGTTCTGCAAGAGGGTCATCATCATCATTTCTGTACTTCACATTGATCTCCATAGGTGTGTGAGCTACCGTATGATCACTTAGACATGTTTGTGTGACAATATCCTCTGCATACTTCTTTTGGCTTAGCATGATACCATCCTGGAAATATTCAACCACCAACCCCAAAAAATATGTTAATCTGCGAAGGTCCTTCATTTTGAAAGTTGCATTATGAAGATTCTTGAGTTGTACAATTACATTCTCATCATTATCGGTTATAATCATATCATCCACATACAATAGTAAAATTGTCATACCAGTATTGGAGTGCTGAATGAATAATGAATAATCAGAAACAGATTGAGAAAATCTAGAATTTATGATGGTAGATGAAAACTTTTCAAACGATACACGTGGTGCTTACTTGAGACCATAAATAGATTTCCGAAGACGACAAACCATATCAGGTTGAGCTTGATTGTATCCTGGAGGAGGCTTCATGTGTATAACCTCATGTAGTTCACCATGTAAAAATGTATTTTTCACATCTATTTGATGAAGTTTTCACCGTTTGATGAATGTTATAGTGAGCAACACACAAATTGTCGTCATCTTTGCAACATGAGCAAAAGTCTCCTCATAGTCCAAGTCATATTCTTGTTTATATCCTTGAGCTACTAGTCGAGCTTTGTACCTCTCCAATATTCCATCAGACTTCTTTTTCACAGAATAAATCCATTTGCTCCCAATTACAAAAGATTCAGCCGGTTTAGATATCAAATCCCATGTATTATTTTCTTCTAAAGCCGAAAGTTCCTCTGTCGTTGCCTTTTTTTCCAGAAGTTATGACTTGATGCATGTTGGTAAGTAGTTGGGGAAAAAATAGAATTCAAAGTCGCAAGTAAGGCATATGATCGACTGTATCTACCTGGAGAGTATCCATATCGATCTGGGACAGATGTTTTACGTTCAAAGTGATGAAGAGAAGGAATGGAAGAATTGATTTGGTCACTTGGTACGGGTTCACCATCAGAATAATCATTGTTGTTAGATGAGTCAGTGAAAGAAGTAATCAATAAATTATGTGACAAAGTACTATTACCTGAATTATCCGTAAGAAATGCATATGATTGACCAAGATCATCAATAATGCCATTAGGGTCTTCGTTGGGAGATGTAGGATTTTGTACCTGCTGATTTTCAAACTTGTACAGAAAGGAGACAAAGTCTGATTTTGTTGAAGAGGTAATAAGGTAAGCAAACAGATGCTCAAAGAAAATTACATGTTTGGAAACCCGCAACTGTCGTTTATAAGAATCATAACAGAGATAACCATTTTGGACATAATTATAACCCAGGAAAACACCTCATAACTTTAGCAGATAATTTATGACGCTCATGTCTAGGCAAATGGACAAAACACACACAACCAAAAACTTTTCAATGAGAATAATAAGGGAATTTACCAAAAAGAATGTAATATGGACTATCATCTTTGTTAATGGTAATGGTGTGTCTGTTTATTAAAAAGACAGAAGTTTGGATGGCTTCAACCCAAAATATTTTAAGAACATTTGATGTATCAAGAAGAGCTAATGTGGTTTCTAAAACATGTCTATTTTTTCTTTCTACAACCCCATTTTGCTCAGGTGTGTATGGACAAGAGTGTTGTGAAGTAATGCCTCTCTCTTTTAAAAAATCTATGAGTTCTGACTTCATGTATTCCCCCACCTGAATCAGATTGAATTTTTTTGATTCATTTATTGAACTGAGTCTCAACATAGGTGACAAATTGTTATATGATTTTAGGAACTTCACTTTTGTTTCTACATAAGAACACTCATGTATATCAAGAAACATGATTAATAAACAAGATAAAATATCGATACCCCAATCTAAATGAAATTGGTGCAGAACCCCATACATCACTGTGAATCAAATCAAAAGTAGAGTTGTATGAAGCAATACTACAAGGAAAAGGCAGTTTATGACTTTTAGATTTAGCACAATTTTCACAAGGCAATTTTGGTGAAAAAACAATGATTTCTTACAATTTTGTAACATGAAAGAAAGTTTTTGAGCATGTGGATGTCCAAGACTATGATGCCACAAGTACCACAATTTATTTGAGTTAGTGATGTCTCCTTTAGTGGCAGACAGATAACATGCATGGTGAGGTGTTTCAAACATGGACAACTGGAACATTCTCCCAACTTTACGACCCTTGATGATCACCTTCACTGTATCCAAATTATGAACAACACAACCAAGACGTGAGAAAATAACAAGGCAATTTTGTTCCACCAACTGTCTAACCGAAATAAGATTACCAATATGTTTAGGGACAAAAAGGACATTAGTGAAGCAAGATGATTTTCCAATCTTAGAGGCAGGTAAAGTATCACCATTGGCTGTGAAAATAAGATTATTTTCTGATGGAGTTGATAACGAATGTAAATTATGGATATATCTTGTCATATGGTTAGACGCAGCCGAATCTATTTTCCAATCTTTTGAATTCTTATTTAAATTATTACAAGGAAACAGTGAGAGCACTGGAAATAACCCCGGGGAGAGCAGTTGCAACTGAATCTTGTATCATCTTTTGAAGTGCTTTCGGATCCAAAGAAGATGATGTGATCTCTGTTTGACTCACATAAGCTTCAGATGCTTGATAAGCTTCGGCTTGCTTTGATGCGTGTTTGGGCGTCGATTTTACTCCAGAATTATATGGCCAGGATTTTTACAATAATTGCATATGTTTCTTTTCTTGCAATGTGACACAATATGGCAATACTCTTTGCACTCAAAGCATTGTGGTCCAGAGTTTCAAAATGAGCTCTGAGTATATGATTTATGGGTACCTTTTGATGTATACATAGTCGCGTCAATTGTATGGGACGAATCCATGGATGCCAGAGTATTGATGCATGTCTCCTCACGAATGAGTTTTCCAAAAACTATGTCGATGTCTGGAAGAGTTTCTCTGTTAAGAATGTTAGCTCTAATAGGCTCAAAGTCAGGTCTCAATTTTATGAGAAATTGGACAACTCGAGTCTTCTCCCGCTCCAACATAACTTTCTTGAAGCCTGTGGAAGAAAGGTTTCCTCCAAAGCTTTGGTCTTATTCTGACCAGATTGTCATAAGTTCCGAATAATAACTCCGAATGTGTTTATCTCCATGTTTGTATTCCGAAAAAGTATGTTCCAACTCAAAATCCCGAGCATGATTACATTGAGAATATACCTTTTTGAGATGCTTCCACATCTTTGCTGCCAAGTTGAACGGACGCAGACTGAGTGCAACATCTGCATGTACAAAATTGAGGATCCACGAAATTATACGAGCATTGTTAGCATGCCAAACTTGTTTTTCCTTGTCTTCATTTGGCTCAGTTGTTGATCCATTCAGGATTCCAAACAAGCTTTTCCCTTGAACAAAGATCCGGAAATGAAATTCTTACATCGAATAATTTTTTCCATCAAATTTGGTAGACAAAATGTCGTGAGAATGTGACTCCATTAGAAAGACAAGAGATATCCGATGATAGAAATCAAACAACAATAAGGAGCAAATTAAACTAATTTCTGGAAAAAAAATTAGGCTTTGATACCATGATAACAATTGAGAAATTAGAGACCAAAAAGAGTAGAAAAATATTCTGTATTTCTGTGCTTTACAATTGATAAACTATCACTATTTATATACAAAGGTACAAACATGATTCTAGCATAATATCATATCATATTGTGCACAATATCAGTGGTATGATTGTGCTTAGTTATATTAGAATATTGTCCCGTATATTTTAGAATCATATAAGATATTTGGAATTTTAAGAGATATGATTTGGAATCATATCATATATGGTCAGCAGGGAATACACATACATGAATGTTAGTTCATGAATAAACTAAATGGATAATCCACTATTCAATGGATTTATAACAACTACTATAGTTTGTCTAAGAATTTTTTAATATTATAAAATATAAAATATCATTGATAAACTTTATAATTTTGCTAATTCAGTCTTATCCTTTCATTGGTAACATCATTACAAGTCTTGTCCTTTTTGAAAAGTAACTTTCTTTTGAGCCCTTTCGTCGTTGAACTTGAGAATTATAAAAGTTAACGTTAAAATCCTAAGTTGGGGGTGTTATGAGAAACTTATAGATGGATGCTTACCACATTAGGGCTTGATAAAAAATATTTTGAGAATGGAGGAGAAAGTTTCAAAGAAAGAAAAAGTTGTGAAAAAGAAAGAAAAGTTTGAATAAATGAAACTTGAACCCTGCAAAAATTGAAAATGGTTGCATGTGGGGGATCTAGAATGGGAGTACGAAAGGAAAAATAAGAAAATAGTGTGAAATTTGCATTGAGTTGAAAAATGAAGAAAAAAGTGAAAAAGTTGTTGATTGAAAAGTTGTTGTGTAGTGTTCGATGAGAGTGTAGTCACTTGTACCTAAATGATATCACAGCCTTACCTATGCCTACATTACAAGCTTAACAATGTCCTTTGAGATCTCCAACCGAATGAAGTTGTGCCAACGTTGTCTGAAAATATGGGTAAGCCTATAGAGTGATACTTGTGTACATGAGATGATTCGTTGTGAGTGTGAATGTTTACATTTTTGTCCCTTGTATTGTGAATACTAGTGTGTGTTTTTGGGACATTTCTTTTCTTGTTAGGGCTTGAATACTAGGATGGATTGGTGAAGTTGATAAATTCCAAAATTTAGTCATGGGAAGTTGTTAGTTCACTAGTAATTGTGAGTCACTTCTTGAGAATTCTTGTTGTCACTTAATCATTCTTGAAAATCATTGAGTTTTGAAATTGTGCTTGAACTTGAGGAAGTTTCTTGGAATGGAAATTACTTGCTTGCTTGCTAATTATTAGTACCAATCAAAACTATGACCATGACCCTTACTTCAAATAGAAGGGTGTTGTGCTTAAATTTTGTAACACCCCGTATCCGAAATAGACCAAAAATTCTAGATTTTCAGAAGTTTCAGGTGCCACCGACGGAAGCCAACTATGGACCATTAGTCGACTGATGGCCCGTCAGTCAGCTCTGTCGATGGGCAAGTCAACTTTCAGTCTTCAGTCGCAAACGAAGGTCGACCAGTATGGACCGTCAGTCAGCTCCGTCGATGGGTCAGTCAAATTCCAGCCTTCAATCGTGAATGACGGTCGACCAGTACGGATCGTCAGTCGACTCATTGTCCGTCAGTCCCGTCCGTCGGTCACTCCGACAACAGTTAAGTCGGGGGTCTTTTGGTCTTTTTCTATTTCGTTTAACCCCTAAACTACATCATTTAGACCCTAAATTATGAGGTTTTAATCAGTTTAAGCCTAGAAACATAACTAGAACTTACCTAAGTCAAATCATTAATCAAAACTTAGAAAATAGAAGCGTAAGAAGAGAAAGAGGCGACCAACCCTAGTTCAAGAACGCAACAAGTTTTCTTCAGTTCCAGCCCAGAAATCGAAGGATTTC